AATTCGTTTTTTAAGACTGCGATTTTTGTTTGAAATTTCTATAGTTTTTGAATTTTGTCTAAAGTCTAGAGATATTTTTTCAAGATCACATCTTTATGGCGAGACTTCAATACTGAAAGTAAAGGGTCTCCAAATGTTTCTCAAGATATTCACTGCTGAATGTTTCTCTGAATCAATTTTGTCTACGATTATTGCCAACATGGAGATCTTAAAAAAGAAATTAAAACATTCAAGATACTTCTCATCTGAGTTGACATAAACTGACCCGACCTGATCTAACTAGATTGGACCTGATATGATATGATATGATCTGACAAGATATTAAAATATTTTCTCGTGAAAAATTCTGAAGACCTTTACGAAAATCAGGGCCTTCAATTTCTGCTACTTTTATGTAATTGTCTGAATGACTGAAAAAAAAACTTATTACCCTTCCTTAGCTTACGCTCGTGAAGTAAAAGACTGTTTTCTCAATGCAGCGAAATTTCACTTTGAAAAAATAGTCCTTTGCGACCTTTGCCTAAAATTTTTCTAGTTTATGAATTTTATCCAAAGTCTAAAGAGATATTTTGTAGATCTTCTCTTTCTTAGTTTAAAAATGAATCAATTTTTGAATTTTGTCTACAACTGAACTGAAGTTATAAGCAAGATCTTAAAATAGTCTATAATGAAAAATTCTGAACATATTAATCAAAGACAAGATCTTCAGATTCTGTTTTTAAGTGTGATTTTTAAGACGGCGATTTCTGTTTGAAATTTCTCTAGTTTTTGAAGTCGAAAGATATTTTTTCAATATCTCACCTCTTTATGTCGACACTTCAATGCTGAAAGTGAAAGATCTCCAAATGTTTCTCAAGATCTTCACTGCTGAATGCTTTTCTAGCTCATCTGTTTATTTCTTAGTTTAAAATCGATCAATTTTGTCTACGGTCATTGCCAAAATGGAGACAACAATTCGGAAGATCTTAAAGAAAGTCAAAATCTTCAAAAAAAAAACATTATTCAGAGTATTTCTGATCTGGCCTAATAAATTTATAAGGCGTCGAGGAGCACGATTTTACTTTTTCTGTACATTTTTACAGATTCTGGATGACTATTTTTTAGACTTAATGCCCCTAATCTATTTTTGAAACTATGCCGCGTTATTCAGATTTTTTTTTATTTGTAGCAAGGTAAGTAATAATTTACAAAAATAACATGTTGTAGATTTTATGGAGACATAAACACATGTATTAATATATAAATAATAACAATAAAACTTTGGGATATCGGTATTTCAGTTTTTTTGAGTAGATCACACTGTATTTTATCACTATACCTTAAAAAGTAGAAAATCATGGAAACTATCGACTTCAAATATAGAATTTAAATTAGACAAATCGATATTTGAAAACTGTGATATTTTAGATTTTTTTTTCTAAACACTCTATATATTACGACTCAACTTTATTGTTACAATAACAAAGCGCATACTTGTGTTTATGTCTCTACAGAATATTATAATACAGATTTGGAAAATCATCCTACTTCGATTTTTTTGTAAACCTTTGCATGGCTAAAAGCTTTGAAGAAGATTGGAATAACGTGACAACGTCGCATCTAAACTTCAAAAATAAACTATGGTTATACAATCTAGGAAGAGGCCAACCAGAATATTGTTACGTTAAGCGCGTGATTGAAATCGGCGTGGGTTTAACTCAATAATAATTCGAATTACACAACTGACACAGCGATTATGTACAAAATAATTCCGGCGCAACTTCACTTTAGTGTGTAACATTTTTTCCTTTTTTCTCTAATTTTACAACTATTACAGAATTCCAGAGCAATTGATCCTGCAGTTTCTAATGAAATAAATTATATCAGCTAGTGTACATTTCGTTTCAATCAAATAAAATCCGTGATGTCTTAAAGAATGATAAGTGTAACAAAAAAATTAAGTATCTTTCGATTCTTGAGAAAAATCTGTAATATGAAACATTTTTATTATCGATGTTACCTAAAGCTTATTCAATTATGTATCTGAATCGCCAAAACTTCATCAGCAAAAAAAAAATGTGACATAAACTTGATATTTCTTGGTGGTCAGACTACGTATTAAATTTGATATTGTTTTTGACGCTTTCAACAAACAAAAAACCTGTGACAAACTTGATTTATTTGTTGCTGGTCGGAGTATATATTAAATTTGCTCTTGTTTTTATGCTTTTATATCAGACAGTGTTAATTAAACTGTTACTGAATAAGGTCACAATTTCCTTGTGTTACGAACATGAAGCAACAGGTGGAGGATATTTAAAGTGTAAACAGATTATAAAAATCACGTAAAAATGAAACCTGCTATTTCTAATTAAAAATAGTTAAGATCTTTAAACAAAACCTTTTTTTATAATTCCGGATTGTGTAATCTGTTTACCCGGAATTATTTGCTTTAGTAATGAACAAACAGCCATCACATTCAAGTTTCAATCCTTATATTTCAGTGTATTTCAGGGTATTTCAGTGTTCGAAGATAGAAAATGATAATGTTTTATTCATCATTAATTGTAGTTTCGATAAAACAGCTTTCATTAAATAACCAGTTAAGCACAGTTTTTGCTGCAAACCGCACAGGAAATCTTTATCCTAATCAATCTCCGCCATCTATGTATTGTAAGTCGAACTTCACCCAGAGCTTTGCAGGATTTTCTTCCGGTTACATTTTTAAATACGCTTGGAAAATGCAGATGTCGCGATCGGTACCTTGTTAATTTCACACAGCTTAAAACTTTAAAATCCGACACTTCGTACTCCGACCCACTTCGCGCGCTATTAAAAACCCGGATTAAAGGATTACTGTTCTTACTTGAGCTTTTATGGAGAAGCTTAAAACACTTTTTAAAACTTCCCCGATTTCCTCGCCACCCAAAAGCGTGAAAACTTCGAGCGAGCATATAAAAAGACTTTTCCATTTGAAAAAAGGTACGTGATGGGTGTCGATCGCTTACTCGGTTGACAGGTGCATTTATATTGAAATAGCTCCACGAACTCGGTCCTAGCCCTATTACTCACACAACATTAACCGTCTATATCAACAACAACAAAGAACCCACGCAGGACTTCTGCGGGACTTAAATAAATCACCAAGCAGGATAAGGCAAAGAGCGCCAACTTGACTTCATTTATATCACTCGACAAAATGAAGTGCTTGCCGGTCTTAACTTCGAATTACTTCTGAAACACGCAGTAGTGCCAAGTTAATAAAAGAAAACGGAGCTGGTTTTGGCACCTGTGAATTCAGCCGAGGTCCTTATTTAACAAACTTGCTTAAGTAGCAGCAGTAATAAAACGGTTTAGTATAATTGAATTTTCGGGCTTGTTGAGTTTTACTTGGATTGTGTAAGATGAGGACGGAAACGGCGTTGTTTGTTTTAGAAATTTCTTGTTTGTTAAAATTAACATTGAGTTAAGATTTTTAAGCTTGAATCAACACGTTTAGGCTGGAGAGATCTAAATTAAATTTTAAAACAATGAGATAACGGGCTTGTTTTGAATAAAGTTTTTAAGAAACGAGTAAGTTTCAACGATGAGGAGATAGGATAGGAGATGATGAAAGTGGTCGCCGGTAAATTTTCTTTTGGGTTCTTTTCAAAGAAACAACGTTATGTTTGTTTATTAAATTTCATACAATTTAAAAATTATTATTTATCAATTATCAGAGACATCAACACCCCAATTTACCTAGAAAATTGACATATTGAACTGCAAAATTTAAAGCTGTCCTTTTAAAACTTTTCGAGCTTGCTTTAAAAAAGATGTTTTTTTTCCTTATATGGAGCTATTTATAAAACAACGTCTAAATATAGTCGTGCACTCGGAACTTCATTTCTAAACAAGTATGAACTAATGAGCAAAACAAAGGTTCGAGAAAACAAGTATTAATGTTTGCTGCAGCTCAGGGCGTTGCATAAGAAAAATATGATCTGTTTTTGCTGTTTCCAGAGTTTCTCCAATATTTCATCTCTGGAAAAGCAACCCACTTTTATAATATTACATTACTAATGACTAATGAGTTTGCAGAAAAATGGATAATGTTCATTACATTCGGCACTGTTGTCTCTCAAATTAAAAAAAAAAAAAATGTGAAAGCGAAAAAAATTCTAGTTAATCTGAGCTATCGAGCACTTTTAAATGTTCGTCTTATATTAATACATATAACACGTATTTACAAAATTTTAAATTTTGGAGAAAACTGAATTTCTATGATAAAAACTCAAAGCGAATTCATAAACCACCAGTACAGTATAAAACTATGAGATGACGTTATCAATTGCTGGTGGTGATGGTTAAACAAGTTTTGCTTAGCGTTTTACCATTTACAGATATGCCTAACGTACAGGTGATTCACAAATAGACTCCGCTTTAATAATCGTGTTTATGCGAAAACGCCCATGATATTGATATAATTTGGAGAATGCAGCAGCGGCAGCTAATTTATACAGTCGAGTCAGGTCAGGTCAGAAATATTAACTGGAGTACGTTATTTACAATTTAACCGATACGTCGTGACACTTCAAATGTGGTTTCAACAAGATGGAGCTCCACCCGATTTTCATGGCATTAGGCGCAGCCACCCTAAGAATAGATGCAAAACATCCATGACTCCTGGTAGACCTGAGTATTTTTAATGAGGATTCGTAAAAGCAAGCATTTATAAAATCCCTATCGAAAATTTAAATGACGTTGACAACCGAATACATATTTTTTTTTCTTGCATTAGTTTTCTTATTTTACTATTGTTTTTACGCCTTAAAATTTATTTTTAGCAGTTTAATTTGCTGTAATTAATGACAATTATTTTTGGCACATTTCACGTCTCTCAAAATTGGATAACTCTGATATTAAAAAATTATTCAAATTAAAAACTCGTCAAGTGTCCTGTGAGAATGCAATGATTAAGTATATACAGATAGATTCATCACATTGTTGGGAACGAACATTCGAAGGCCGGCGAATAAGAGATGGCGCATCAATATTTGGCCGTCAAACGCCGTCGGGTAGCTTGGACCTCAATCGCGCTCATTGACTACCCCCATGACAGCAACAAACTGTTCTTAAATCTACCACTCGATAGAAGGCGACGGAAAAAAATTGTAAGAATCTAATAGTATGCATTAAGATAATTTACAACGTTGCCAGATGAGCCTAACACAACTTTGCCGATATTTCTACACAATAGATTTAAATTTCGTTTAGAAGTTTCTGATGAATAAATGGGATTATTATAATGAATAAATAATACAAACAAATTATTACTTGTCGTTTTAAATACTTGTTAGTGCTATTGAAAACGTAAAAATATCTATTTAATCAATGGACAATGTATTTTCATACCATACTACGAGGTTTTGAGTTTTGAGTTTGTATTCTGGGTTGCATAAACATAATTTTTAAATCGGACGCTTTTCTTACGATGATTTTTTGTTGAACTATTTTGAAAAAATCTTGGGGATTCCTCGATTTGTTTTTGAAGTAATATGAAAGAATCTCGGGGACCCAATCTATTTTGTTTTTGAAGTAGTTTGACAAAATCTCGGACACTCCTTGTACCTGATTTTTGAAATAGTTTGAAAGGATCTCGGGGATCCGTTCTGTTTGTGTTTTGAAGTAGTTCGACAGAATCTCGGACACCACTTAACCTGGTTTTTGAAGTAGTTTGAAAGAATCTAGGGGACTCTTTGTGTTTGTTGGTAAAGTAGTTTGGAAGGAACCTCGGGGACCACTTGTGTTTGGTTTTTGAAGTAATTTGAAAGAATCGCGGGGATCTTTTGTGTTTTGTTGTTGAAATAGTTGAAAGAATCTTGAGGATCCCTCGATTTTTTTTAAGTAATATGAAACAATCTCGAGGACCCTTTGTGTTTTGTTTTTGAAGTAGTTTGAAAGAATCTCGGGAAGTTCTTGTCTTGTTTTTGAACTAAAATATCAAATAATCTCGGAGACCTCGTGTGTCTGGTATTTGAAGTAGTTTGAAGGATTTCGAGGACCACTCTTGTTTTGTTTTTGAGATAATTTGAAAGAATCTCGGGAACTCCTTATGTTTTATTTTTGAAGAAGTTTGAAAGAATCTCGGGAGTCCCTTTTGTTTTGTTTTGAAGTAGTTTGAAAGAATCTCGGGAAGAATGTGTGTTGTTTTTGAACTAAAATATGAAAAAATCTCAAGGACCTCGTGTGCCTGATATTTGAAGTAATTTGAAGGATTTCAAGAACTATACTTTTGTTGTGTTTTTGAAAAAATTTGAAAGAATCTCAGGGACCCCTTTTGTTTTGTTTTTGAAGTAGTTTAAAAGAATCTCTGGGACCCCTTGTGCCTGGTTTTTTGGAGGAATTTGAAGGACCTCGGCGACCACTTTTGTTTTGTTTTTGAAGTAGTTTGAAAGAATCTCCACGCCCCGTTTGTTTTGTTTTTGAAGTTGTTTGAAAGAATCTCGGGGAAATGTTGTCTTGTTTTTGAACTAAAATATGAAAGAATCTCGGAGAACTCGTGTGCCTGGTATTTGAAGCAGTTTGAAAAATTCGAGGACTGCTTTTGTTTTGTTTCTGAAGTATATACTTTAAAAGAATCTCGGGGACCTCTTATGCCTGATTTTTGAAGTAGTTTGAAGGATCTTGGCGACACCTTTTGTTTCGTTTTGAAGTAATTGGCAATATTCTCGGGGACCTCTTGCCTTGTTTTTGAACTAAAATATGAAAGAATCTCGGGGACCTCGTGTGCCTGGTATTTGAAGTAGTTTGAAAGATTTTAAGGACTACTTTTGGTTTGTTTTGTAATTTGAAAAAATTTCCTGGTCCCCTTGTGGTTTGAATTTGAAGTAGCTTGAAAGAATCTTGGGAATTCCTTTTGTTTTGTTTTTGAAGTATAAAGTTTGAAAGACCCTGGGGGACCACTTGTACCTGGTTTTTGAAGTAGTTTTGAAAGAATCTCTGGGACCCTTTGTGCCTAGTTTTTTGAAGAAAGTTGAAGGATGCCGGTGACCCCTTTTGTTTTGTTTATGAGGTAGTTCGAAAGAATCTCGAAGGCTTCTTTTGTTTCGTTTTTCAAGTGGTTTGAAAGAATATTAGGGATCCCTTTACTTATTTTTGAGAAAATTTGAAAGAATCTCTGTTTGTGTTATGTTGTGTTGTTGAGGTAGTTTGGAAGTGTTTCGGGAACCTTTTGTCTGTTTTTGAACTAAACTATGAAAGAATCTCGGAGACCTCGTGTAATTGGTATTTGAAGTAGTTTGAAGGATTTCGAGGACTACTTTTGTTTTGTTTTTGAAGTAATTTGACAGAATCTCTGCAACCCCTTGTCCTTGGTTTTTTAAGAAGTTTGAAGGATCTCGGCGACCCCTTTTCTTTTGTTTTTGAAATAGTTTGAAAGAAACTCGGAGGCATATTTTGTTTTGTTCTTGAAGTAGTTTGAAAAAACGTTTGGAATCCCATGTCTTGTTTTGAGATAATTTGAAAGAATCTTGGGGACTACTTGTCTTGTTTTTGAACTAAAACATGAAAGAATGTCAGGGACGTCGTGCAACTGGTATTTTAAGTAATTTGAAGGATTTCGAGGATTACTTTTATTTTGTTTTTGAAGTATATAGTTCAAAAGAATCTTGGGGATCCCTTTTCTTGTTTTAGAGATAATTTGAAAGAATCTTGGGGATCCCTTTTCTTGTTTTAGAGATAATTTGAAAGAATCTTGGGGATCCCTTTTCTTGTTTTTGAGATAATTTGAAAGAATCTCGGGGACCCTTTGTGTTTTGTTATTGAAGTAGTTTGAAAGAATCTCGGGGACCTCTTGCCTTGTTTTTGAACTAAAATATGAAAGAATCTCGGGCACCTCGTGTAATTGGTATTTGAAGTAGTTTGAAGGATTTCGAGGACTAATTTTATTTTGTTTTTGAAATAGTTTGAAAGAAACTCAGGGGCATATTTTGTTTTGTACTTGAAGTAGTTTAAAAGAACGTTTGGAACCCTTGTCTTGTTTTGGGGTAATTTGAAAGAATCCCGGGGACTACTTGTCTTGGTTTTGAACTAAAATATGAAAGAATATCAGGGACCTCGTGTAACTGGTATTTGAAGTAATTTGAAGGATTTCGAGGATTACTTTTATTTTGTTTTTGAAGTATATAGTTTAAAAGAATCTTGGGGATCCCTTTTCTTGTTTTTGAGATAATTTGAAAGAATCTCGGGGACCCTTTGTGTTGTGTTATTGAAGTAGTTTGAAAGAATCTCTGGGACCTCTTGCCTTGTTTTTGAATTAAAATATGAAAGAATCTCGGGGACCTCGTGTAATTGGTATTTGAAGTAATTTGAAGGATATCGAGGACTCCTTTTGTTTTGTTTTTGAAGGAATTTAAAAGAATCTCAGGGACCTCTTTTGTTGTGTTTTTGAAGTAGTTTGAAAGAATCTCGGGGGGCGCTTTTGGTTTGTTTTTGAGATAATTTGAATGAATCTCGGGGACCCTTTGGGTCTTTGGGTTGTGTTGTTGAAGTAGTTTGAAAGAATCTCGGAGACCTCTAGTGCCTGGTTTTTTAAGCAGTTTGAAAGGATCTCTGGGACCCCTCTGTGCTTGGTTTTTGGAGAAGTTTGAAGGATCTTGGCGACCCCTTTTGTTTTGTTTTTGGAGATGATTCAAAGAATCTCGGGGGCCTCTTTTGTTTTGTTCTCGAAGTAGTTTGAAAGAATCTTGGGGACCTCGTGTAACTGGTATTTGAGGTAGTTTGAAGGATTTCGGGGACTACTTTTGTTTTATTTTTGAAATAATTTGAAAGAATCGTGGAGACCCCTTTTGTTTTATTTCTGAAGTAGTTTGAAAGAATCTCGGGGGGCCCTTTTGGTTTGTTTTTGAGATAATTGGAAAGAATCTCGAGGACCCTTTGGGTTGTGTTGTTGAAGTAGTTTGAAAGAATCTCGGGAACTTTTTGTCTTGTTTTTGAACTGAAATATGAAAGAATCTCAGGGACCTCGCATAACTGGTGTTTGAAGTAGTTTGAAGGATTTGAGGGATTACTTTTGTTTTGTTTTTGAGGTAGCTTGAAAAAATCTTGAGCATCTCTTGTCTTGTTTTTGAAATAATTTTAAAGGATTTCTTTGATCTTTACACTGTTTTTGAAGTAATTAGAAAGAATCTTGGGGATTCCATGTGTCCTTCAAAGAATCTGCTAGAGTGCAGACCCAATAATAAAAAATTTAAGCTACGCAACCGAACTTTGAATATCGTAAATTGGGATGGCATTGGGACTAAATTTATGAAAATATTTAATAAACAAAAAATTTATATTTAGACAGGATAAATATACGCCTTTCGACTCAATCAAAAAGATGACCATAAGGCTGGTGTCGAATTTTTTGAATTTTGCTGCCTCCTAGGTAGGCAACCAATAAATTCAGGTCGAATATAGACTGCCATCTACTTCACGAAAACGGCAAATTCTTATTAAATTGCAGTAACAGATTTTTCAAAGCCTACTTAATGTCGAATATTTTATAATCAACAAGCTCTAAATCAATCGATTCATGAAAGAATAATGAAGGTCGCCACAACCATTTTTTGGAAAACGAATAAAAATTATTGGAATATACGCCCCTAATCAAATTAAAGACGGTTATTACGTAAACGTACAACTGTTAGATGAAATAAGTGATAGGAGAGAAATAATAACGATAGGTGACTTCGATGGGAGAATAACACTAATGAAAACGGAGGACAACTGATTGGTCTATGCCCGAATAATAAACTAAAAATAACAAATAACGTTTTTAAACATAAGATAAATGTCCACAAATACATCTACGAACAACACACAAGACTAATAAAATCAATAATCGATTGTGCTATTGTTCGACAAAAAAGTGATGGATGTTAATGGAATAAAACTGAAGCGAGCAGGGTAAGAAATCTACACGACACAGACTAGGTCAACAGAAAAAGAACATAAAAATACAATCATTCCAAATCTGAAAAAATCTACCCCGAAATGGAAAACTGAATTATTAATTTACCCATAATAAATTTTTTGAGAGTTTTTACTAACAGTTTTGTTATTTCATATCTACCGAATTTTCCGCACGAGTGTTATTAATTTTTTTCGAAAATCACCTCCACAAAAATAC